GTTGCGGGTACACATATCCAAGACACTGTTGTATTGTACACATATCCAAGACACTGTTGTGTTGTACACATATCCAAGACACTGTTGTGTGGTACACATATCCAAGACACTGTTGTGTGGTACACATATCCAAGACACTGTTGTGTTGTACACATATCCAAGACACTGTTGTGTGGTACACATATCCAAGATACTGTTATGTTGTACACATATCCAAGACACTGTTGTATTGTACACATATCCAAGACACTGTTGTGTTGTACACATATCCAAGACACTGTTGTGTGGTACACATATCCAAGACACTGTTATGTTGTACACATATCCAAGACACTGTTGTATTGTACACATATCTAAGACACTGTTGTGCGGTACACATATCCAAGACACTGTTATGTTGTACACATATCCAAGACACTGTTATATTGTACACTTATCTAAGACACTGTTATGTTGTACACATATCCAAGACACTGTTGTATTGTACACATATCCAAGACACTGTTATGTTGTACACATATCCAAGACACTGTTGTGGTGTACACATATCTAAGACACTGTTGTATTGTACACATATACAAGACACTGTTATGTTGTACACATATCCAAGACACTGTTGTGTTGTACACATATCCAAGACACTGTTATGTTGTACACATATCCAAGACACTGTTGTTTTGTACACATATCCAAGACACTGTTGTGTTGTACACATATCCAAGACACTTTTGTGGAGATCCATCACTTGATCACATACATATCCTGTCATATATATAATTGTTCAAGTAAAGTCAATTTTGGAACCCACACAATGTATTTGATTCTACATAAACCATTATAGTTTTTAGAAGTCAAATAATAAACAATGAACTAGGCCGGGACCCGTCCATATTATCAAGTTCCAGTTAATGTCGCCTTAACGAGTATAAATGAATGGCATTGCACTGTCTACTTTATTATACAAATGGGAATATGTAAGTTCAAAGACACTATCATCACTGATGTATTGTTTCTATAAATAATAAAGATACTGATGTGTTCCGTCACAAAAGAGCATATTCTACAATGAATTTGGAAATTATTCGATTCTGTTTTGTCAATCAGAGGTTATTTAATAAAAATACTCCCCTCCCCTTTGAGAGAAATAGCTAAATGGACGATCGCAACACCCCAGAAGCTAATATTTACAGAATGGTACTTCTGTTATTGTCATTGTCGATTGGTATTTTATATATTTGGTATACGTAGAATTAAAGTTTACAACATGCGAAGTTGTGGTTATCATAATACTCAAAAGATATGTCGCAATACATTTTGCGCCGAAAACATGATAGGAATCTGCAAAGGGAATGTATTTCAATAGAGTATTTGAAATTTCTTTAGGGATGCACAATTCATGCTGGTTCCGATCCTCATCACCTACATGTGTACTTTACGGATCACCTATTGCCCAGATCACGTATTATCGCTTCAGTAAATCAAAGCCCACATAACCAAACAAACTGGTATTGATTTACGTTGGTTGTGTCCATTATTGAGCACAAAGGGGTGCTAGTACTGTGACTGCGCTATGCATTATTGGTTTTTGCGTTCCTGAATACTAGTACTGGTATAATCTTGACTATGTGACTTGACTATTTATATGATCATTGTCTATTGGAAATGTATGGTGCACTGATTGATTACATATGTCACTGGCCTGCAAATAATATGAACCTGATTAAGAATATATATATACACTAACGATATTTTCATATAATATTCTTATATGAAAATATCGTTAGTGTTGTCAGTTCATTACCACTATGGCTTCTGTGCAAGTTGCAGTTACTGAATCTACCCAACCGCACCGCACACTCGTGGCGGTAGGTTTGCGTTCTATGATGGACATAAATATGAATTGACCAGGATGAAAGAAGATACTTTTCAGCAATGCGAGGGTACCGCTCAGACCGTCGGCGACCGTATTATCAAGATTGGACCAACTAAACATAGCCATGCCTCACATCTATGAGTGAGTGAGTGAGTGAGTGAGTGAGTGAGTGAGTGAGTGAGTGAGTGAGTGAGTGAGTGAGTATGGTTTTACGCCGCTTTTAGCAATATTACAGCAATATCACGGCGGGGGACACCAGGAATGGGCTTCACACATTGTACCCATGTCGGGAATCGAACCCGGGTCTTCGGCGTGACGAGCGAACGCTTTAACCACTAGGCTACCCGACCGCCCCTTACATCTATGACTTCGATGTGTTTAAGTCTAGATTGTTGGAGAATGCAAGGAAAGAGACAACTTCGATCAACATAATCTACGATGACGAACTGTAAGTACTGAGAAAGAATTTCGACATTATCCCAATCCAGGCTTTTCAGCATTTCCCTACTTTTGACACCGTGAAACGTGCCCAGCAGTGTGGTCATCCTAAACAACCACCTAGGACATGATCAGTGTGTTTTTTTTGTAACAGTGTATAAAAGGATTATTTGTAACAATGTATGAAAGGCCACAGTGTTCATACAAATATGTAAAATAAAAGCCATAAAAGCCATCCTTTATTTATTTGTTCAGTTTTTGGTAACCCCTTAAGAATTCAAGAGTTAGATCTTCCATACCCACATCACCCAATTACCTAATTCCAGTATAGCATAGTATCCCCACATCTCCATATTACCTTAACTACAATCTCATTAAAATCAGATCTTAGTTCTCGCTACCGCTAAACAAAGATCTGAGGACATCCCATTACGGGTCACGTCAGATCGACCTTGCGCGAACTTTGACCGACCAATGGAATGACCAATCAGAAGGAAGCTTCCTCGTGCTTTACGGCACTAATTTCAAATTGGCGACTACACTTCGAAACATATTTTGACAAATTCTCGATTACAAATTTGAAACCTAAACAAAAGAACATTCTGGAATGGCTAATAGATGGTATATATTGTATGTATTCAGTCGTTAAACCCGTAACTATCTCCTGGAATACCGCGTGTTATAGTTTTCGAAATTGCATGATTAGAAATCACATTCCGACTGTCACTTTCATAATATGGTAAGCGACTCTCTGATTGGTCGGAAGAAAGGTCGTTCTGACGTGACCCCTAATGGGATGTCTTCAGATCTTTGTTTAGCGGTAGCGAGAACTAAGGTGGGATTTTAATGACACTGCCTTAACTACCGCCGTCATATAGCTGGAATATTGCTGAGTGCGGCGTTAAACAACAAACAAATAACATATAACCTTAACCTCCTAACTGTTAAAAGCGGCGTTAAACCCGACTCACTCACTCACACTCACTCATGGATTAGATATCTGTATCCAGTTCCGTGTTGGTAATCCATGACCTATCAGCAATATTTATGCTTGTATATTGCTCACTAAAATAGGCCCAACTACAATGAACATAGAGAACAATCCTTTCACTACAAAATAGAAAGTTTTACCATGATACATATTTCAAAATGCAAAGCGTTTCACGATCAAATACATATATTCCTTATTGGTCTAGGCGTTGCAATTAGTTCCTTGTGACACAACTGAGACAATGCCACCTTGTGCGTGTTAACTATTAACTGCATCAAAATCTGTGGTCCTGTGTACAGCGAACAGGTCACAAATCAGGTGAAGTTGAGCAGCTTTAGTAGCGGAAAGTAGTTGCATGGGTGACCGTGTCCGTACGCGTCGGCTTGACTCTTGAGTGTTTCTGGGACTTCAGCCCTGCCCAACACTGAAGCAAATGTAGCACATGTGGTGTCTCTTACGAAAGTGACTTTGTTCGAAATATGCCTCTGTCCGCCAAGCAGTGTATGGAGCCTGGTAGGGTGTGATGTAATGTGACCATTAACCCTCAAGCGCCTCACATGCTGCTGTTTTCATCATGAGTCTTGACATGCTTCACAAGAGGATCATAAGACAAAGAAATGTGTGCAAAAGTGCACAATACAATTCAGTCATGAAGAACCTTCACTTTGATACCGTGAATACCGTGAATTCCTTGTTTCCAAAAGGTGAGGTGAGGTGAAATTTGGTTTAACGTCGCGTCCAAGATTATTGCACTTATATAGCGACGTGCATGTACGTGTGTGTGTTTGTGTGTCTGCTTGTACTAGTCCGGACTGATGCCGATTTATAGTGCTAGCACACTGAGATACCATGCCGCAGTTTAACATGAATACCCCACTCAGACACTGTATACTGACTCCGAGCCGACCAGTCCTTGCTTTAGCCCCTTAATGCCGAGCGCCAGACAGGGTAACAACAAGTACCATATTTTAACGTCTTTTGGTATGACGCGGTCGGGGATCGAACCCCGGACCTTCCGCTCTCCGGGCGGACGCTCTACCACAAGACCACGGAGGCGGTCTGTTTCCAAAAGAATACGAAAGGACAGGTACAGTATAAGTATTTGTGTCTTTGGACTTTATTGCTCTGAACTCCATATTTTCTTAAGTCTACATTTGTACTCTGCCCGAATCTTTTTCTTGATCTTGGAGTCCCTAATCTACGTACGTATATCATTATGATTATGAATATGATTATTATGATTATGATTATGATTACTATGTTCATTATGATGATTATTATTATGGAACCGACACATTGATGTTTGAATGACGTGAATTAAACGTGCTAGGACTGCCGCATTCACCTGGTCTAATCTCCATTAAATTTCATTTATTGCCTAATCTACCATGAAATACACGACGTGGCCAATGGGTACATTCAATACGTTGTCGCCTTTAGAAAGAAGGTTCTTCAGCCTCGGAAAGATCGCAGTTATGTTCATACAAAGAGGCTGCACTGGCGAGGTTAATCTGGTTCATTACTGGGCAGTTACACCAGCCTACCCCTCCAATAGCTGGGCTAACGTAATGCTGATGATCCCAACATCTCGAGCACTACATCGATTTGTGTACGCCGTTTGTTGGTAACTTTGTGTAGAAGGTTCCGATCAATGTGCACATATTGATTACAGTGTTTGACTTTGATATAGTGACAACATGAAACGGATACCCTACAAGAAACTAACATGCAATATGCTTTAGCCTTTGTATTTTTGAAAACATTCACAATGCAGTTTAGAATGACATGTTGACGTCACCTGGTATTACAGCAACTGAGGTGGAAGGACATAAAGAAGGATGGGTTTTGAGCCTTTCATCTGTCGACGAGTTTGTTGTAAAGATATTTTCCAGCGTGAACACAATAATGCAGCCACCACACGCATCTTGAATAATTGATGGGCTGGCCTAGATGAAACGTCACACTACAATAATCACGGAGTGGAGACCCCCAACCCACGGCGTGTTGTCCCCCGATACACGACAGTGTTGACAGTATGCCGGAGCGGACGTCTACTCTCCCCCTCCGCGACAGCGCCGACCCTGAGGACATGGACAGTCCGGGGGTGAGGCGAGCTTTGTGGCCACAGGATTCAGGGTGGAGGAAAGCAATGTGGACAAGCAGGCTGGACTATATTTTGACCCTCGTGGGGTACACGGTTGGGTTAGGGAATTTGTGGAGGTTCCCGTTTGTGTGTCAAAGAAATGGAGGAGGTATGTACAGTATAGTGGAAAGTAACACAGCTGTTGTATAGATGAAGAGGTTCATTATGGTCATCGACCATGTAACTCAGTGCACACTGGGGTCATGTCGGTTTAGGGCCGCAGAATTTCTACTACGTTTTTGCTTCCTCATTCGGATGTAATTCGCTAACGCTTGTTGTAAACTCTCATATTGATGAGCTAAACACTTAAGCTGAATGACGAACCTGTCAGTGTCATGATACAATATGTTACTGGGTGTCCCACAAAGGGTCTGTAAGCTATTTATCACACAACTGACTGTGAATAGTTTTCACATGAATCATTCAAGAACTATTTTTATCGCAGTTTTACCCGCGGCGAGTTAGGCCGTAATATGAAAAGTAGTTTATGTCCATCCAATGCGATCAATAACCCAAACAATGCGATGTGACATTGGCGGGATCTCCAGTTCAGTCTTAGCGCTCAATAATAATATTGGCATTGCAGCGGCCATTGGCTTGTCCTGATTTATTATACATGTATGTAGTACAGAGAAAGTTTCAATGTTGACACGGGTCCCGGGAGGCATAACAACGCGCTAGTGAAAGGCTGTAGTGGGACCAGTGTCAACATTGCGTGAGGGTGGTGCGTCGGTGAAAGAGCGTGTGTTTCTTCACATGACTTTGCAATGTTTTACCTAATGACCTACTGTCGTAAGCATGCACTAGTTCATCCCATACACAGTTGATCGTGAATGATTTGTTTAGCTATGAATGCTGATATAATTGATGTGAGATGAAATTGTTTTTGTTATTCAGTTTCAGCAGATAATAGAGTGAGTGAGTTGGGTTTAACGCCGCTTTTAACATTATTCCAGTTATATCACGGCGTAGCACATCATATAACATGAGTTAGCAACTATGGAAATCGTTTATAAGATTACTATGCTAAACACACTAATCATACACAATTGTATTAGTATAGTTTCGTGACGAAGAGCAGACAATAATGCGATATTCCTGTAACACAAACACCTTTAATTTCTGATAACTGGACAGGAAGAACACCATGATAATACGTACAACCGTGTGACGATAAAAGTATAGGTATGTTATGTTTTTATTTGAATAAAAAATTACCTCCAGAGATACTTAGTGTCCAGTGTGTAATCTACGTTCGTGCCAGATGTTCACGCTGAATACCCGGGTTCGAATCCCAACATGGGTACAATGTGTGAAGCCCATTCCTGGTGTCCCCCGCCGTGATATTGCTGGAATATTGCTAAAAGCGGCGTAAAATCAAACTCACTCACTCACTCGTGCAAGATGTACAATAGATCATGGTTACAATGATACGACACGGATATAAGGTAGAGGACGGTTATTACGAACTATTTCAGAAGGCCCTGCTGCTTCATTGACATATTGCCATATAAACTTCACGCGAGTAACGAATTCTCTTTTAACGAGTTAACGGCAAGAATTCATCTGAGATCTAAACATCAATAGTTTCTGACGCGTGTAAGCAACTGATTAACTTATATCAGCGCCAGTCACCATGGTATCGAACTACTAACTTACCAGCATATATCCTATTACCACTGCAACACACTTACATAGCAGTGAAGCCACATTATCAGTACAACGGACGTGTATATACGTGAACAGCGTATCAGCACAACGCACTTATATAGGCATGAACACCCGTATCAGCACAATGCACTTATATATGCGTGAACACCCGTATCAGCACAACGCACTTATATAGGCATGAACACCCGTATCAGCACAATGCACTTATATATGCGTGAACACCCGTATCAGTACAACGCACTTATATACACATGAACACCCGTATCAGTACAACGCGCTTATATATATGTGAACACCCGTATCAATACAACGCACTTATATAGCAGTGAACACCCGTATCAGTACAACGCACTTATATATACTTGAACACCCGAATCAGTACAACGCACTTATATAGCAGTGAACACCCGTATCAGTACAACGCACTTATATATACTTGAACACCCGTATCAGCACAACGCACTTATATATACATGAACACCCGTATCAGCACAACGCACTTATATACACATGAACACCCGTATCAGCACAACGCGCTTATATATATGTGAACACCCGTATCAATACAACGCACTTATATAGCAGTGAACACCCGTATCAGTACAACGCACTTATATATACTTGAACACCCGAATCAGTACAACGCACTTATATAGCAGTGAACACCCGTATCAGTACAACGCACTTATATATACTTGAACACCCGTATCAGCACAACGCACTTATATATACATGAACACCCGTATCAGCACAACGCACTTATATATACATGAACAGACCGTATCAGCACAACGCACTTATATATACGTGAACACCCGTATCAGCACATCGCACTGATATATACATGAACACCCGTATCAGCACAACGCACTTATATATCTATTAACACCCGTATCAGTACAACGCACGTATACATACATGAACACCCGTATCAGCACAACGTACTTATATATACATGAACACCCGTATCAGTACATCGCACTTATATATACATGAACACCCGTATCAGTACAACGCACTTATATACACATGAACACCCGTATCAGTACAACGCACATATATCTACTTGAACACCCGTATCAGTACAACGCACTTATATGTACATGAACACTCGATCAGTACAACGCACTTATATCTACTTGAACACCCGTATCAGCACAACGCACTTATATATACGTGAACACCCATATCAGCACAACGCACTTATGTATACATTAACACCCGTATCGGTACAACGCATGTATATATACGTATGTTTCATTTATCTATTTCTTTCATGTATTTCAGAGGTATTTCTTTCGGGAGTATGTGAACGTTGTTACACAAGGGATATGTATTTGTGGAATGTATTAGAAATGCACCCTCTGTTTTACACCAGCTGCCTTCCTCATCCCCTACCTACTGTTCATGATGACAGTGGCCATGCCTCTATTCTTCCTCGAAGTAATCATAGCTCAGTTGTCTCGTCGCGGGCCCATAGGAGCATGGGGGCTGTGTCCCCTTATGAAAGGTAAATCACTGTATTCTTCCAGTTGGTTTGGCTGCCTAGCCGTTTTAGCCTAACTTTGCATTAAAATCGTTCAATATTGCCAGACTGGAAGGACATGTTCGTCAATTGCCAACGCTGCGTAACTGATGATAATATGTCATGGATATGAGAACGAATTTTGCAATGAACGGTCCCCTGATCGGAATAATATACAGCTTGTACAGTGAGACCATAATGCTTAACTTATATCTGTGACGGGTCTTGTTTTGTTAATTTTGGTAAGACAGTTATCACCCGTATCACAGTAACTACAGTTAACGTGAGTCGAATATTTTTAAGGGCGGTCGGGTAGCCGAGTGGTTAAAGCGTTCAATCGTCACGCCGAAGACCCGGGTTCGATTCCCGACAAGGGTACACTGTGTGAAGACCACACTGGTGTTCCCTGCCGCAATATTGCTGGACTATTGCTAAAAGCGGCGTAAAACTATATTTACTCACTCACTCGAATATTTTGTAATCGAATAAATGATTACTGAATGCATTGTTTCAGGAATAGGGATATCCCAGGTCATTGTTTGTGGCATGATCGTCCCGTACTACAGCATGGTGTTTGCCTGGGTCCTCTACTACCTGTACAGCTCCTTCTCAACCGTCCTGCCCTGGACCACGTGTGACAACTCATGGAACACGCTGCAGTGTGTCGTTCACAAAGACGCTGGGACCAATGTCACCGCCCTGTTGGACACCAATCTCACCTATACTGAGACGGTCAATGACACATTCCGGTCCTCAGCTGAAGAATTCTGGAAGTAGGAGACTTTAATTTGAAGAAACCTTCCCTGTTGTCAATAATGCATCCACCTTAGATCAAAAAGTTAGCATTGGAAAGATAGCAAAGACCATTTATAGAGTTATAGAGTAACAATTTAGTATTTTCCCTGTAACTCTCACGATTTCTCGTACCTATACTACGTACACCCGATTAAGTTGAGTAACACTCGATTCCTTCATATTACTATAGTTTTTTGGGAACACCCGATTCCTTCATACTACTATAGTTTTTTAGGAACACCCGATTCCTTCATACTACTATAGTTTTTTGGGAACACCCGATTCCTTCATACTACTATAGTTTTTTAGGAACACCCGATTCCTTCATACTACTATAGTTTTTGGGGAACACCCGATTCCTTCATACTACTATAGTTTTTTAGGAACACCCGATTCCTTCATACTACTATAGTTTTTTAGGAACACTCGATTCCTTCATATTACTATAGATTTTTTATGAACACCCGATTCCTTTATATTACTATAGTTTTTTAGGAACACCCGATTCCTTCTTATTACTTACAGGTCAGCCAGAAAATCGGATGCTCTTTAACTCCTTATGATTATGAAGGGTTAACTTCTATTGAGTAGTATATATTATGTAGATAATGAGATGTTTGTAGTATTTAGGAGGTAAATGCATTCATGAACACTTCTGTACATGTTGTGTTTTCAGACGGGACGTGCTTCGTCTATCATCCGGGCTAGATCATATAGGACCTCTGCAGCCCCACCTAGGAGGCGCCTGGTTGGCCTCGTGTCTGATAATGTTCTTGTGTGTCATAAAAGGAATACGATCTGTTGGAAAGGTTAGATATGGCCAGTAAACGTATATAACTTCGTTTAACCATGCCATTACGTTACTCTGTATTCTGATTGTTTCCAATTAGACATGTATAATCACAATTACCTGCCTCTAATTAAATCATATCGGCGTCTTTGTGAAACTAACATGCATGACATATAAAAGATTATCCTTTTTCTGACAGACTTGTTTCTCAATTTCTATTAAGCACTGTCAAATCTACAGGAAACACCTTTCTTCACAGTAGGCTTATTTCCTACTAATCACCAATGCCGTCAGCAATGCCATCGTTCCGTGTAGAGTAATCTCTAATCAATAGCATCATTAAGGATGTTATATTTTGTTAATAATACGTTAATAAAACGCAGCTTTTGACTCCTAAATGCAAATATCACGCATACACCATCCCAACCTTTATGACAAATATTAAGCGACAGAAACATTTCCATTATAACAAACATAAAATGCCGATGAAAGAGAATAACCAGTCCTGATTATCCGTCCAAACAAATTCAATTTGGAATATAGGGCAAAACAACAGTGAAAATTACTTGAATGGACCACTGAAAATCAGTGATGACACTAGGGATGCGTTGCAAAGCGCCAACCGCTTGCAAGCGATGTACAGCGATTCGCCTTACATCAGTGCGCTAACTTTACGCCGCTTGCAAGCGAAACAATCGCTGGCTGAGGTCGCTTCGTTGTCAAACCAAAATGGCGGCTGACTTTGACAGCGGAAGAAGAAATTCTTGACTGGATCAACGAGGAAATGAGCAAAGGCAGCTGACACCCCATCATCCTCGGTCGGATCCACATCTTCAAAGTAGTCATAAATTTGATCAGCTCGTCATCGAGCCTCTTTTATTACGTTCTTCATTACGTCAAGGCAACCAAGCGGTGGTTGCGCCGCCATTTTGGAAGAGTGCGCAAGCGCTTCGAACTGTTGCAGACCCCTGGCTGAGCGAGTAAGTTGCTTTCTCTAAGCGATTGGTGGCTTGCAACGCGCCCTAGGTGTTAGCGAAAAGGGTAAGCATGTCCTGTCCTACCTGTAGCTCCCGCTATCACACAATTTGCATAATAAATAAGTATATAGTGCCTGATGCCACACAGCAGCACTCCTGTCTTGCAACGGCGGTTATTACATAAGAAAGAAGAGTCAATTGTACGGGCATGTGTTTATGACTCGCTATGAAATATGATGATACCAGGTGTTCGCAAAAAAAGGTGAACGTATCCCGCAGCACTGCTTGCGCTCTTCACAAATACATGCAAACTCAAGTCAATTGTTCCCCTGAAAAACCCCACGAGAAATCTCTTACAAATGTGAAACTTACTTATATTCCCTTTGACGTTGCTGCTTTTTTCCACGGTAGACCAAATGAGGTTGTTTGTGGTTGCAGGTGGTGTATTTAACAGCGCTGTTGCCGTATTTCCTGTTGCCGGTATTGCTGGTGAGGTCATGCATGATGCCAGGTGCTCTAGATGGGATTTTATACTTCATCAGTCCGGACTTTTCTCAGTTAGCGAATTCACAGGTAAAGTTCACTGCAGATGACATATCCACAGAGATAGAGTTTCTTTCAGTTTTGATACAACCACAGGTAAAGTTTCCCCAATTATGACACATCCACAGGTAAAGGTCCCTTCGGTTATGACATATCCACGGGTATAATTCAACAGAGATAGTTTATTTCAGATATAATACAACCGGACTAAAGTATTTTCAATTTTGAGAACGCCTCCCTGGTTCCTATGGTAGAGCGTCTGCCCGGAGAGCGGAAGGTCGGGAGTTCGATCCCAGACCGCGTCATACCAAAAGACGTTAAAAGAGGGTTTTTGTTGTTACCCTGCCTGGGACTCGGCATTAAGGGGCTAAAACAAGGACTGGTCGGTGTTCATGTTAAACTGCGGCATGGTATATCAGTGGGCTAGCACTATAAAATCGGCATAAGTCCGAACTAGTACAAGCAACCACACATACACACACACCATGCACGTCACTACATACGTGCAACAATCTTGAACGCGACGTTAAACCCCATTTCACCTCTCCTCATTTTCAGTTATAAAAACATCCACAGGTTGGGTTCCCTTCCGATATGACCCGTGAAGATTCCGGGGTAGAATAGGTCTTCAGCAACCCATGCTTGCCGTAAAAGGTGACGCTTCTTGTCGTTAAAGGCGACTAACGGGATCGGGTGGTCAGGCTCGCTGACTTGGTTGATGCATGTCATCGATCCCAATTGCATGGATCGATGCTCACGATATCCATCACTGGATTGTCTGGTCCAGACTCGATTATTTACAGACTACCGTCATATAGCTGGAATATTGCTGAGTGCGGCGTTAAACAACAAACCGACCAACCAACCAAATCCCTTCCGATATTTCCCCGCAAATGTGACACATCAACGGGAAACCTTCCCGTCATTTATGACACATGATAAGGCACACTTCCCTTCACACATGACACATTAACAGATCTAATCCTTCAGTTATGACACCACCACATGCTGTGTGTTCTATAGTTCAGCCCACACGGGTACAATGTGTGCAGCCCATTTCTGGTGTCCTCTGTCGTGATATTGCTGGAATATTGCTACAAGCGGCGTAGAACCATACTTAAACACTCACTCACTCCATAGGTCGGTATGTTGTAGGTTTGGCTCGAGGCTCTGGTCCAAGTCTTCTTCTCGGTGGGTCCTGCATGGGGCGCCATCATCACTATGGCCAGCCATAACCCGCCTCATAACAACGCAGCATGGTAGGTGCTCATACATGAAAATACTTTCTTGCTCCTAAGCGAGACACAGAGATCGAAAACTATCCCAAGATAGGCATGTACAAAATGTCCATGAGTCAGGAAGGTGTGACTCAAGTTAAAGGCATACGTTAGGTGCCTACTGTTTTGTTTTGATCTGTTGCGCAGTAGTTTGAGTATACGTGAGAGCAAACTGATGTCACGACCATGTGTTTCGGTCTGCTTATTGCCTAACCATTTGTCTCAGTCACATTTGATCATAGTTACCGATGGCTAATGAGACATATCCATTATAACTCAGGGGCAAAAAGAAAGTATACCGAGTTTGTTGTTCATGTAATTGGAAATGGAAACAACTGTTGTTAAATTTGGTGATATCTATTTATGAACTATCGCTCATTCCTGCAACCCTCATCTGTTGCTGGGTAAATGTTCGGGAAAATAAAGTGGTTCAATAAAGACTGGGGTGAGAAATTAATTTGCAACCACGTGACACCTACCATATGTGAAATGTTGTAAATTTGTGCCGAAAAAAGCAAATTTGTGTGGGTGAACTAGTGTGGAGGTGAGGGTGAAAATCATCAGCGTTGACGTTTTTGCGAAGTCATTGTTTTTAGTTTTTAACAGATTGAAATAAAATATTAATTTTAAAAAATAAAAATTATTCTAAAAGCAATTTTTGAGTGCAGACGAAGCGCCAGTACAGTTAATCCTTGGGAATATATCGTTAATCTAAGATATTTTCAATTCACTATCAAACATGAAAATAAAAATGATAACATCAACAGAGATGTGTAGTTTTCTCTCGCCTCGGTTAACATGCACCATCATATCAAAATGTAATCTGTTTTTATCTTCCAAACCTGGCTTCCACAGGAGATGTCGCTTGTGTGAGATGAATTAATATCTCCAAGGAAATACCCACTACAATCAAAATTACATTACAAGGCTTTGCAAACCAATGTGACCAATGACATCACTAATCGTTCAGCCACTGAAGCTGGTTTGCTTTTAGCCTTTAACACTCGGAGAACTGGCTATTACTTCTTACACCCTTGAAAAGTTGGAAGAATGATTTTGGATGATAAATATAATCTCACCCTTGTGCCTTTTGATATCAGATATACCAAAATACACTCGGGTGACATTCTCTAAAAGCCGGGTGTCAGTGAAAAGTTTACTATGCAAAACTTTAAACTGATGTGTATGTGCCAGTAGCATAAAATCAAGAAACGTTACATTCGTTTACCCCCCCCCCCCCCCCCCCCCCATCCCCATCCCCATCCCTTTGAGATAGAGAAGAAAATTATAACAATTACATAACACAAAACGCCACACGGAAGAATTTAATAAGTTTTCAAGTTTTCAATAAGTTATCTTAGTAAAAGTATGTACCGTTGAAGCATATTTGAGCATAAGTGAAATTGCAATGCACTTTATCATAGTAGATCTTCCACTGTACATTCAGGGATGCATTCATAGTAACCCTGGTGGGGGTGGTGACCAGCCTGCTTGCAGGAGTTGTGATGTTTGCTGCTCTCGGCTTCCTGGCAGCTGAAGTTGAAACACCCATATCGCAAGTGATTTCCTCAGGTAAAGGGAGTGTTCTATGTTGTGAGATTTTTTTCATATGAAATTGAAATACCTAAATCGCAAGTTATTTGATGTTATTAATATAAGTGAAATATATCTCTCATACCGCGTGCGTGCATGCATGCGTGCGTGCGTGTGTGTTTGGAGGGTGGCGCGGAGGGTGGGGTGGGGATGTACGGGATTTGTACCGAGGCTGGACATTTGTTCGGCTACAGCTGCACACCCACATCCAGTATATTTCAACTAAACCAAGGCCTTATCTCCAGGTCCAGGGATAGGATTCGTCGTGTACCCAGAAGCCCTGTCCTTACTTCCGGTTCCACAGTTATGGTCGGTCCTGTTCTTCCTTATGCTCCTCGTGCTGGGAATCGATTCCATGGTAAGACCATTGAGTGAGTTTAGTTCAAGGCCACTTTGGCAATGGTAAGGAGACAGTCATAAGACAGAGGCTGTGAAACTATCCTTTACGGTCACCAGCAGGCACTACGTTACTAAGACCCGTGTTCAGCGGTCCAAACATAATTTTCACCCGCATTTTACATTTTACTCTCAATGGAATCTCTTTCGGCAGATAATCTGGCGTTGACGTTTTATATTTGAATGACGTATGTGCCAAGTGGCTCAGGCGCCGTAATTCCCTGTAAAGAACTGAGTCCCTAATTAGAATCTAATGAATAAAGGCGTTCGAATACCATATATGCCCTAGTGATTTTTGGTTTGTCAGCACCACAAGTAGTAGAAAAACTACGAAATGATGACATTAAAAGGGATCACTGCAATCATCAAAGGAATCGCGTGTCGACAAAAATGTCTGCATATTATCATATCTGGAAAAGAGTTAAACGTATTCTGGACTTATGTTGTCTCCATGTTGACTTCAGTAACCCTGGGTCTTAGTATATATATCAGATACTTCTTACCAAGACCCAGTGTTACTGAAGTCAGTATATATATGTTGGTGCTGGCTATGGCAACTATATGCATGCTTATTTAAGCGTTAGCACGAGCTAGAAGCCTTGCCCGTCCGACAGCCTCAACTCTGACGGCATTGATGTTTTAAGATGACATGTATGAGAGGCGTTTGACGAATTAACAACCGTTTGCGTCTTGGATCGGATGTACTCGAACGTACAAACTGCCGCAGTACAAATTAATACGGATGGTTGGGGTTTCCTTGAAGAGATCTCCGCCTCTCATTTCTTTCACTGGTAACCGGTACTCCAGTAACCGTCGGACAATGGCTGCCATTCCTAACATCTGCGCCCAAGACATGCCTATAATATTGTCCAAAATCTCATGTCAATACAATCCACAAACACTCGATGAAGCACTTGGCTGTTATATTTAAGTTCGGATGTTCTGAAGTGTTTTCTGATAATTATCCCAAAGCCTCGACTGTAATAGTCGGGTGGATATCCTAAACTATCGAAAAATTCACAAACATGATTCTTAAAGTAAAATGCTACCCACTTTTGTCCACGTGAATTTGATGCATCTGTGTTCACCACACATACCCATAATCTACGATGAGTAGGTATTGTCTGTTGATAGATACTTTGTTGGGTGTCCCTCGCATATACTCCATACGTGTCTGGGGAGTACTGGGTCACTGTCAATAGCACACAAGAGCTGTTCCTTGTTCATGTTGTTGTTGTTGTTGTTTACTTGATAAACAAGTTACATACTTAATCCACCTCAATCAGACCCGGTGTTTGTGCCAACACCATCAGATTGACAGTGCTGGTGAGTGGATTAAAATTGAACTTCGAGCCTCAGGTTCCCTGATTTCAACAAATTAAGATAATCGTCATCATTGCCTTTGTGCTCTCGCCACGTGAGGGCCCCTTCAAACAAGTTCACAGAGATAAACAAGTTACATACATAATGTCGTCTGCATCAACCGGTCTACCTGGAACACTGACCCCATCTAGATACAGTCCCACTGTTTTGATGATCGAGCCTTGGAAGTTGAACGGGTTTTTAGACTCGGAACCGCTCACACCCACTTGACGGACAAACCCAACAACGACCCGAGTTGGACAGTTGTCTTGAAATAAGTTATCATGTGTGTAAGCAGCCTGTGAAGCGCTTACGCTTGCTTGTTTCAGCGACGTTTTCATGCAGGGGTACAACGCATTAGCTTTCTCAAACTGTTTAGAATGTACCAGTGCTCATTGATTTCTCAGCTTGCAGACTTTCAGGTACACGTCTTGTAGTTCTATCTTGTACTCTTTTTCACTAGCTCCGTACATAAGCGTAAAATGTGGACTGAATCTGGACAGTTTGATACTGTCACTGACTCCATTCACTGAGTGACGATTGAGATTAAACACATCTTCCAACAGTGGATCCGACATGGTTACTGTTTTGCTTCCCGCAATGAATGATCCTCGATTGATGAGACCATTTCCTTCAGTAAATGGATCTGTGGAATCAAGGAAAACCTCCATTACTCGAACTGACCAATTGACCTTGAAGGTATACCGCTATCTGCGGCCATAATGCTTGAAGAAACAGATTGACAGGGGCCACATGCACGTTGTTCTCCAGTTCTGGCCCAGGTCTTCAGGACCAGTGAAAATCTGGGATAGAATAGGTTTTCAGCAACCCATGGTTGCTAAAAAGGCGACTCTGCTTGTCGTAAGAGGCGACTAACGGGATCGGGTGGTCAGGTTCGCTGACCTGGTTGATGCATGTCATCGTATCCCAATTGCGTGGTTCGATGCTCAGGTTGTCAATCACTGGATAGTCTGATCCAGACTCGATTATTTACAGACCGATTGACATATAGCTGGAATATTGCGGCGTTAAACAACAAACATACAAACCCATGCCATCAACGTGGGTGACTCTCAGTTTCACACGGACACGAGATCGTTTTAGATCCAGGTGATCACCCCCTCCATTAGAGATGAGAAATTGTCTGAAAGTGGTCGCACATTCACAAAAAATGTTGTAAAATACTCGTCTGATGAGGAGGCATTTCGAAAAGGTCTAAACTGGACGGTAAGGCCTCGCTAAAGTCTTAGTCAGTCAAGACGGACATGTTGACTAATTTGAATATACCCCTTATTCATACTGCAGTTGTGTCCTTGAATTGTAGAGGTGATGATATGATCTTACCCTCACGACGCACTTTCTTGGTTGTGGTGGCACGGGTGGCCCAGTCGCGATTCGCTGTGCAGAGTTGCATCCCTTGGACACGCAAGAAACTTATGATTGTGGGTTCGAATCCCGGTTCGCCCCGATTATGTTTCTAGGTTTGTCAGCACCATACCCGTGCTCGTGGGTTTCGACGAAGTGGTAAACGTCTGAGACCTGCATCACTTCGGGCTTTCCTCCCACATTAAGCTGACACGCAGTGATATCACTGGAATACTGTTAAAAGCGGCGTAAAACCAAACTCACTCACTTTACGTTTTAAGGGCGCAGTTCTGTTCTGTGATGCCTCGGCTCTGTCGACTATGTCCTGATTGAGTGACATCACTTCCAATAGCTGTACACGTCGCTATATAAGTGCAATAATCTTGGACGCGACGTTAAACCCCATTTCACCTCACCTCCAATAGCTGTATTAGATTTCTGTTTTGTTGAGATTTACTGTTTAGGAATGATAGTAAGCATGGACGAATGGGTGAGTGAGTATGGTTTTACGCCCGGGTCTTCGACGTGACGGGCGAACGTTTTAACCACTAGGCTACCCGACCGTCCCGCATGGACGAATGTTGGTGACTTTTCTTTATGTTAGAATGAAATGATTTTCTCGTGCCGTTCTCGAAGTACTGAATGAACCTCTTGGGGTCATCAATGTCCAATTTCCTTTCGCTTTTTGGTTAGCCCTGGAATGGGTAGTGGCGCAAGAAAAGTGACATGTTCGCATTCTCTTTGAAGAATGAAGGATGAGTACTTGAGGCACGCCTTATATTGATTCCGATAAAGGCTGTATCTTCTGAATCACGACGATATACCACATTGGGTTAAAGCGACAGTTAGGACCATCTCTCAAATCTACCCGTCTTAAGTTGGGGTGCATAATCTCATTGCGGAGGGTACTTAACATTCCACCTACCATTGCGGAGGGTACTTAACATTCCAATCTACCATTGCGGAGGGTACTTAACATTCCACCTACCATTGCGGAGGGTACTTAACATTCCAATCTACCATTGCGGAGGGTACTTAACATTCCAATCTACCATTGCGGAGGGTACTTAACATTCCACCTACCATTGCGGAGGGTACTTAACATTCCACCTACCATTGCGGAGGGTACTTAACATTCCAATCTACCATTGCAGAGGGTACTTAACATTCCAATCTACCATTGCGGGGGGTACTTAACATTCCAATCTACCATTGCGGAGGGTACTTAACATTCCAATCTACCATTGCGGAGGGTACTTAACATTCCAATCTACAATTGCAGAGGGTACTTAACATTCCAATCTACAATTGCGGAGGGTACTTAACATTCCACCTACCATTGCGGAGGGTACTTAACATTCCAATCTACCATTGCGGAGGGTACTTAATATTCCACCTACCATTGCGGAGGGTACTTAACATTCCAATCTACCATTGCGGAGGGTACTTAACATTCCACCTACCATTGCGGAGGGTACTTAACATTCCACCTACCATTGCAGAGGGTACTTAACATTCCAATCTACCATTGCGGGGGGTACTTAACATTCCAATCTACCATTGCGGAGGGTACTTAACATTCCAATCTACCATTGCGGAGGGTACTTAACATTCCAATCTACCATTGCGGAGGGTACTTAACATTCCAATCTACCATTGCGGAGGGTACTTAACATTCCAATCTACCATTGCGGAGGGTACTTAACATTCCAATCTCCCATTGCGGAGGGTACTTAACATTCCAATCTACAATTGCAGAGGGTACTTAACATTCCAATCTACCATTGCTGAGGGTACTTAACATTCCAATCTACCATTGCGGAGGGTACTTAACATTCCAACCTACCATTGCGGAGGGTACTTAACATTCCACCTACCATTGCTGAGGGAACTTAACATTCCAATCTACCATTGCTGAGGGTACTTAACATTCCACCTACCATTGCGGAGGGTACTTAACATTCCAATCTACCATTGTTCGTTTGTTGATGTAATACAATTGCAGCGATTCCATTTAATGTCATCATTTCATAGCTTTTCTATACCACTACCATACTCATGTCGTGTTTTTCACCAACGTAATAACGTCTGAGACTTGCATCATTTTCCTTTCCTCCCACATGAAACTGTCACGCCGCGATATTGTTACCGTCCCTCACTGCATGCCAAGTCCTCTACGTGTTCGTACGTGCACGAATCATCAAATAGTTCCACTGCCACGCATTGTTCTATTTTAGCGATGCTCATCTGGTGGTGTTGATAAGGGTATCATAATATGAATTGCATTGATTTATTGAACCAGTCCTATCACGCCACTGCAGTGTTTGTCAGTGTTATATAGAATGAGCAATTGAGATAGGACCAGGGGATCTAACGTAATGGCAACGTAACGGTGAATGAATAGAATGAGCAACTGAGATAGGAGTAGGGGGTCTAACGTAATGGCAATGAACAGCTACGACAGTGTGTTGGGGTTTGTCTAGTTTACGACACGAGCAGTGAAGGAATATTCCATCGTTTCGTGTAATTGTTTTATTCGATCCCTTATGCAAGTAACGCATGGCTCCTAATTGAAGATTATGTAGAAATATGGCCAGAATGCAACGTGATGACGTAGCGACTACAATATTTTTATAATTGTTTTTTTGTTTGCAGTTTGTTACTATGGAGACAGTTGTTGTGACACTGGAGGAACTGTTTTCCCGATTTCTACCCGACACCAAGTGTCTCCATGGTCTCCTGGCGGGGGTGTATGTCATCCTTGTCTTCGCTCTGGGTCTACCACTCACCACCAGCGTAGGTCACCTGACGCAGCGTGTGCGTGTGTGTGTGTGCGTGTGCGTGTGCGTGTGCGTGTGCGTGCGTATGTGTGCGTGTGCTTCTTATTCAATGCCACTTACAGCAATATTCCGGCGGCATGTAAATTATCTAGTTAGCCCGAGCTCAACGTGCCCAACGATCCAAGTGAATGGAGTGAGTATGGTTTTACGCCGCTTTTAGCAATATTCCAGCAATATCACGGCGGGGGACACCAGAAATAGGCTTCACACATTGTACCCATGCCGGGAATTGAACCCGGGTCTTCGGCGTGACGAGCTAACGCTTTAACCACTAGGCTACCCGACCGCCCCCCCAACGATCCAAGCTCTCGGGAAACGATGACACGATATCAACCAAGTCACCGAGTTAGACCGTCTGAGCCTTATACGACCAACATAGGGAACCAATTCTAACCCAGAAACCCCATGGAAGGAGCATATCAATGCTCCGTGGGGATCCCGGATCCGATTAGGTAAAGAATACCTCATCCTTGTCGTATGAAAGGGCTCTAAGGGGGATCGGGGGATCAGATACTGTGACATGTTGCCTGTTTTCGTGTCACAGTTTCCAGACGTCGTGAATCGTTGATCATGCTTTCAGTCACTGGTTTGCATGGTACAGGCCGGTGGCATAATGTTGATGCGGCGTTGAACAACATTCCTTCACCCGCACGGTTCAGGTAGTGGGGTTCGTCACCGTTATGGCCGCTTCGCGACATCATACAATACACTGTAAATGCTGTGGTTACATCCTAAACAAAACTACAAAACCCTCTCCATATTCCATAAGAAATCTCAACCAAAAACAGAGTCGATTGTACGATTCCGACTATATTATTTTCATATAAACACAAGCCAAACTCGTTCCTTGTCCCATAATCTAAACGGTTTTCGGGCCTAAATATATTTATACCTTAAACATGTTTAGAATTCTTTTGTTTAGAATTGTATTGATATCTAAACACTTAAGGAGACCAGAATCCCACTTTTTAGTATTTTCCCCACAGTTTCGTGTTCATGTGCTTTACACGTATAGAATCTAAACATATTTAGGTTTTAAACACAATGCTGAACATGTTAAGGAAGAGCAGAGAGATCCAAGCTCACGTGTGTTTATTCGCTCGTCACGTCAAAACCTGTGTTCGATTCTCCACTCGCGTACAATGTGTGAAGCCCATTTCTGGTGTCCCCCGCCGTGATATTGGTGGAATATTGCTACAAGCGGCGTAAAACCATACTCAATCACTCACTCACACATATGTTTATATTCTGAACCTGTTTAGATAATACGTGCCAAATATTTGGAATGTTCATTTCAGGATTTTATTAACACGTTTAGAGCTAATCATGTCCAACTTGTGTTTAATTCAATAACTCTTTACAGGCGGGGTTTAGACATTGTGACATTTGGGGCATGAACCCACTTTGTGATGAGGGAACGGCGCATTAACCTAGGGATCACTGCTACGTACATACAGCGTTGTGTAAAGCATGCAGTTGTTAATAAGATTTCTTGTAGGGAATTGGCACTGGAAGTTCATCAAGAACCGGTAATTGCCATAATACGATGATACATGTCCCCTGACAATAATGGTATTGGAATAAGTGAGTGGAAGATTCGTCTAAATTGCACAACAGACTTCTGTTGTACGAGGAGGATTTGTAAGCCAAGATTTGGTTTTATTGCTAAGGCGGTCCATATGTGCAGAAAGATCGATTTAATTCCATGTGGTGGTGTAAGCTGCATGGTGCTGTTCGTTGCGAGAACATAGAATAATCACAGGTCAAAAAATGAGTTACACATTTAGTGAATGTGCGCGTAGGAGTGAGAAATTCGCAGTGTAGAGTTGCCTCCCTTGCGCGTGCCAGGCACCTATGACCATGGGTTCCAATTCAAGATTCACTCTTAGCGTGTGTCTTGGTTTTTCAGCACCATACCGGTGCTAGTTGGTTTCATAACAGTGGTAAACGTGGAAGACTTCGCTCCGACGATCCACTCAAGTCAAGCCGACATGCTATGGTGTAACTAATATATTGTTCAGACCAAACTCACTACAGTACGAAACGTACTGTTTGATCGAGATGCCCTTATGTCCCCATTGAAACTACTTCAACCAGTTCCAACATGGATCCATCCAGATATCTGCCGAGATGATCCATGGAAGCCTCCAGTCTTGTTTTAGTTTTTTTAGTTTAAACATATTTTTTTCTGATGGAAAGAATTGGGCACAAGATACCACTACTTAGAATGCCCTCTCCCATTGATTTGCATGCTTGCTTATACAGCTAACTACGGTTATAACGAACACCGCTTATAACGAACTGACGGATATAACGAACTTACTTTTTTGGTCCCGACTATCTGCCGTAGTTATACTATATATATGCTTATAACGAACTACGGTTATGACGAACTAAAATTAGTAGTCCCTTTGAGTTCGTTATAACCGTACTTTACTGTATATAAGTAATAAAGTAAATGACAGAAAAGAAAGAAGCGAGATAGAGAAACGTATGTCACATTGCTCACTCAAACCATTTTGCTTTCTTTATACATCTGTGTACACCCCTGAACATGTGCACGATTAGATTAAGCTTCATTGCCAACTGGCATGAACTCAATATTAACATCAAGTATCTATCACACCAGTCATGTTGTTGATGACGGTTACCATGGCGTACATTCGGTTGCCGAGAAACCGGGCATCTCCCGCTTAATGTTATAAATCAATTCGCCACTTTCGTTCTTTGGGCGTGACAAACTTAACGACAGACACCAGAAACATATTACGTGTTCTCGACGTGTCCTTTCATCCAGATGCCTTTGTCCCGTGCCACAACACACAGGGCGCGGTCGGGTCTAAAAGTACTCATGGAAATGAAAAATACCTGTTTTGCTGGATTTAATAATCGACACAAAGCATTACGTAAATGTAAATACGAAATAACAAAACAACTACTAGTCTGGATTTGCTAGTTTTATCTCAGTGCTCAATACAGAATGTACTTTACAGGAGGTAATTTTTAGGCACTTTTAACATTCAAAAATAACACTAAATCCAAATTGACATGGCAGAAACAGGCTATAGGCATTATGCAAATTAGCCTGGAAAAAAGTTATCAAAACAACAATAAAAATAACAGCTATGTTTATGTACATAATAATAATGACATGTAAGTTGTTGTTTGAGAAGGGAATATGTTACTTTTACGTTCTGATATTTTGACGATGATTCACTATCCCACAATGCCACTCACAAATCACTAACCACTGACAAATCACATGCACGTGGGTTTCAAGCACCTGTTTTCACCTGTCGTCAAGGTGTCATAGGTCATGGACATTCACCTTGAACTACTAACACCTGGTTATGCTCAGTTTCACAATAGTCTGTTTTGTTCATATTTTTACACACTTTTACGTGTAAAAAGACATAAAAACCAAGGCCCAAGTACTAATTGAGTTGTTTGAATATTTATATATTTTGTATATTAACTGCATTTATTTAAAATCTGAGATAGAAAAAAAACAGTTTTTTTTCATTTCCGTGAGTACTTTAGTTCCTCGTTTTGCGATCTCAACGCTCGCTTATAATAAAAACCTTTGATACGCTGTATTTGTGCCAAGGCCCAATTAGTACTAATTGAGTTGTTTGAATATTTATATATTTTGTATATTAGCTGCATTTATTTAAAATCTGAGATAGAAAAAAACAGGTTTTTTTCATTTCCGTGAGTACTTTAGTTCCTCGTTTTGCGATCTCAACGCTCGCTCGTCACAGCCTTATTTTAAATCATTATGATGACCTTCACGCTGTTGTTCTTGCTGTTGATTCTGCGCCAGGAATTCACCGGTTATTGTGAACGTGCATTTTAAGCAAAGAAAACTGACGTAACGTTTGGGTCATTATGCAAAAGTTTAGAGCAAATATGTCTCAACCATAACATGGTTTAAGTCACAGAAATCACTCGAATCTGTTTATTCCGCCACACTCAGCAGTATTCCAGCGAAGTGACGGCGGTATGTAAATAATCGAATCTAGACCAGACAATCCAGTGATTGACACCATAGACATCAATCTACGCAACTGGGGTACGATGACATGCATGAACCAAGTCAGCGAGCCTGCCCACCCGATCCCGTTTGTAGTCTCTTTCCACAAGCATGGGTTGCTGAAAACCAACTTTCTGTAGCGGTTGTTTCCGGAAGTTAAATAAACAGACTCTCATAATTTCTCCATGACATATTTCATTATATAGGAGTTGCGATAGTCACATCCTAAGATGCACATTTGAATGCCAGTATGTGGTTAACAGAAAGATTATGTTTTCAGGGAGGGATGTACATATACCAGCTGCTGGACTCACACGTGGCCGCGGTGTCCCTTCTCCTTATCGCCTTCCTCGAGTGTGTCGTCATCGCCTGGTTCTATGGTACGTTTGTGTGTACCAGAGCAGCACACAATGCACGATAGCTATGTCTGAAATAAATCCAGATTATGCTGGTGTAGCAGGGGCGTGGAGTCATCCCACAGATGACATCCTTACCTTTTCAGCTTACTGACGGGGTTAACCTATTTGGTCATGTGGACAAGGCGTCCGACCTCGGATCAGAAGGTCCGTGGTTCGAATCCCATCGCGGGACTCGGAAATTTTATGGTCGCTACTTGCTTTAGGGGATTGATGTCCACATCATGTAGTTGATGGACGCGTTCAGATGATCGATGTTGTGGTGTCATTGTATTTTATATGCGCTTCTTTCACATGTGACAGTCTTGGTGGTTTGATTTTGGGACGCTTCGAGCAATAGCTCGCTGATCGGCCGTCAAGTATATGGCCAGACCAAGGGTAGTCGTTTGAAGGGATCCTTTTACCTGATGCAGTCAGCACTGGGGTCTGCTTTCAGTATATGTTACGTTATCAAGGTGTCTATATACATGAAACAATGCTTCTTGTTATAACAAAAACGCGATTCATGTCGTTAGTTGGCTTGTTCAGGTGTTGTGTTACACTTCAGTCAGCAATATGCCAGCTATATCATGGCAGCATGGCAATAGGGTCTAAGCGATATAATATAAAACATTTGTTGATATTATTTATGAGAAATGTGCCACCCCGTCGGGGTACGATAAGACCCAGTTAATCAAGTCACCGAACCCGACTACCCGAACCTTCTCACTCGCCACATGCGCCAAAGAACACACAGAACCTATTTTAACCCGTGTCTTCGTGGTGGACAAACACAGACATGACTATCGTCATATATCAACAATATATCTCCAGGAGTTATTGTCAAGCAATTACTATATGTCCTTGTTTAGCTGGTATACTATTGACTGCGGCCTTAAACAAACCCACATTAGTATTGAGTGAGAAGCGGAAAAATAGACCATCGGATATATTTTTTTTCATGAGCCACACAGAATGTCGCTTATTGACTATAATATTCGCGACCAATGTATTATGAAAGCAATGAAAGCTTGATCTACATTGCACGTCCAGAATACATAAGTTGATAGCAGTGTTATAATTAATGATTACTTTTATGTTTCCTTAGGAATCCGTCGGTTTTCGGTCGATGTGGAGTATATGCTTGGCAGACAACCACCCGTCATATACAAGATACTGTGCTGTTTTGTCACACCCACGCTCCTACTGGTAAGTTCAAGGTCGAGACTCGGAAAGATTAAATGACGAAAAACACATCAACTTGAAAAGTATTGGAAACACTGTTCCGGTAAGTTCTCTAAACACTGTTCTGCCAGTAAGTTCAGTAAACATGTTTCTACCATTAAGTTTTTGCAAACAATGTTCTACCAGTAAGTTCTGTGAACATTGTTCTACAAGTAAGTTCTGTAAACACTGTTCTACAAGTAAGGTCAGTACAGTATTACTAGTGTAAGTTTTGTGAATCACATTTTGATAGTAGGTTCTATGAATACTGTCTTACTGGTGTTCAGAGAATACTGTCCTGCTGTAGCAGATTATGTGAGGACTCTCCTACTGGAGTAGATTCTGTGAATACTGTGCTGCTGGTCTCAGTTCTGTGAATACTCTCCCACTGGAGTAGATTCTGTGAATACTGTGCTGCTGGTCTCAGTTCTATGAATACTCTCCCACTAGGGTAGATTCTGTGAATACTGTGCTGCTGGTCTCAGTTCTGTGAATACTCTCCTACTGGAGTAGATTCTGTGAATACTGTGCTGCTGGTCTCAGTTCTATGAATACTCTCCTACTGGAGTAGATTCTGTGATTACTGTGCTACTGGTCTCAGTTCTAAGAATACTCTCCCACTGGAGTAGATTCTGTGAATACTGTGCTGCTGGTCTCAGTTCTGTTAATACTCTCCTACTGGAGTAGATTCTGTGAACACTGTGCTGCTGGTCTCAGTTCTATGAATACTCTCCAACTGGAGTAGATTCTGTGAATACTGTGCTGCTGGTCTCAGTTCTATGAATACTCTCCCACTGGAGTAGTTTCTGTGAATACTGTGCTGCTGGTCTCAGTTCTGTGAATACTCTCCTACTGGAGTAGATTCTGTAAATACTGTGCTGCTGGTCTCAGTTCTATGAATACTCTCCTACTGGAGTAGATTCTGTGAATACTGTGCTGCTGGTCTCAGTTCTATGAATACTCTCCTACTGGAGTAGATTCTGTGAATACTGTGCTGCTGGTCTCAGTTCTATGAATACTCTCCCACTGGAGTAGTTTCTGTGAATACTGTGCTGCTGGTCTCAGTTCTGTGAATACTCTCCTACTGGAGTAGTTTCTGTGAATACTGTGTTTCTGGTCTTAGTTCTATGAATACTCTCCAACTGGAGTAGATACTGTGAATACTGTGTTTCTGGTCTTAGTTGTATGAATAATCTCCAACTGGAGTAGATTATGGAAATACTGTGCTTCTGGTCTTAGTTCTATGAATACTCTCCTACTGGAGTAGTTTCTGTGAATACTGTGTTTCTGGTCTTAGTTGTAGGAATACTCTCCAACTGGAGTAGATTATGGAAATACTGTGCTTCTGGTCTTAGTTCTATGAATACTCTCCCACTGGAGTTGATACTGTGAATACTGTGCTGCTGGTCATAGTTCTATGAATACTCTCCTACTGGAGTAGATTCTGTGAATACTGTGCTTCTGGTCTTAGTTCTATGAATACTCTCCCACCGGAGTTGATACTGTGAATACTGTGCTGCTGGTCATAGTTCTATGAATACTCTCCTACTGGAGTAGATTCTGTGAATACTGTGCTTCTGGTCTTAGTTCTATGAATACTCTCCAACTGGAGTAGATTCTGTAAATACTGTGGTTCTGGTCTTAGTTCTATGAATAATCTCCTACTGGAGTAGATTCTGTGAATACTGTGCTTCTGGTCTTAGTTCTATGATTACTTTCCTACTGGAGTAGATTCTGTGAAGGTTCGGTGAATTCTGATATAATGGTGTTAGTTCTGTGAATACTGATATACATGTACTGGAGTAGATTCTATAAATACTGTCCTACTCGAGTAGATTTTGTAAACACTGTCCTACTGGTGTAAAACGTGAATACTTTTGTACTAGTGCGGGTTCTGTGAATGCGGATTTAATGGTGTTAGTTCTGTGAATACTGACCTGCTGGTGACGGTTCTGTCACTACTGCTTTACTGGAGTAGATTTCGTGAACACTGTCCTACTGATACGTTCTATTATAGTTCTGTTCTATCAATACGTTCGAGCCTAATACTGCTCATCTAGGGTTAATTGTACGAATAGTATCCACTATAAGGTTCTGGGAACACGATTCAACTAGGAAGGTCTGAAGAAACTGTTTCACTGGAAAAGTAAAAAAATACCTTTCTGTTGTTGAGTCCGCAGACAATTGGCTCCCGATTATTTCTTAAATTGGGACTAGGCTCAACAGACTCTGATGTGTCTGTTTAAGAAAGTTACAGGATTGGGATTAATCTTCAAATTGCCCGTATGCAACTTTATATTGAAACAATGTCTTCACATCACTCTTAAATACGGGGATCTAGCAGTTTACCCCTTTTACCATACCATGACATACAAATCACATACTCATCAATATACCGCTCAGTTGAACAATACATCTTGCATGGAAGACACATATTGTTTAAATCCTTATTAATATTTTCTTCACAAAATCATTATGTGTGTCATTAATGCTCAATTACATCTCTCCACAGATTGCCCTTGTTGTAACGCTGATCACCTTTAAATCACCATCATACGGGCACTATATATATCCTCCATTCTCTGTCATGATTGGCTGGTTCATCGCTGTTGTTTCAATAGTGCCCATCCCTGTTACTATGGTAATACAAGTTGCAAAACGAAAAGGCTCGTTGCGTCAGGTAAACATGATACTGTTCTGTTTGTTGCATTTGATAATTTCGAAAAGTTTATAGTCGTTTCGTTCTCGTGAGTTTACACAAACACACACATCTTCGACCTCAGCCACGTTTTGCTTTCTTCAATAATCTTGTAAACTTCAAAACTGTTAAAATGGTGTTAATCCTCAACGAAGCAACTCATAGCCATTGCAAACGGAAGTACGTGAGAATAATGCTGTATTATGATTTTCTATCGCAGCTGTATATATGTTTCTACTTCCAGAGAATGAAACTGTCATTGGCTCCTGATTCGGGATGGGAAATGTCCACACGGCGTATAAGAGCTGAAGAGTATGACCTTTGGCTCGGAGAAAAAATATCTGTTCTGGAAAATGCACGTTTTATATTCATAAGGGAGAAACCGGTGTGATGATGTTTTTTTTAATAATGTACATAACCTTCTTAAGCAATGCTATCAAGTCGAAACAATGCGACCATTAGGTACCTAAGAAAACATACAAATTTATGGATAACAATTTCTGCCTCATAACATTTAGCAACGTTTTGATGTACAGTCTTACGGCCCAGTCGGTTGTGACCTTCATCTCACTTTTAGATACGGAAACACAAGCCTAAAAAACGTAGAGTGTTGAGAAAGATTTCAACCTTCAGCTACCTGTCCTGATGTTCTACCTACAAATATATACAGTGATGTCGACGTTAGAAGGATACAAAACCATGGTGCCCAGGGAGTTTGCTTCTTTGGCGAGATTTCTTGCTACTATTCAGTTTGATCATTCTGGGTCAGTGAATATTGTTGAAGAACAGCAACCCCTACCAAGTTGCCCGACTCCCCATTGATCTCGGTGTCTTAGGTTTTGTACCTCCCAATCTGTTGACTGACATTGGGAGAGTAACCGGGTTTGCTGCCAGGGATACAGCCCTTCTGGCAATCTGGGTAATGCATATATATAAGGTTTCTGGGTGTGTGCCCCTTTTTCCCTTGTATGTATATATATTTTTTAAATCGACTTTTGAACGCGATGCGTTCCGATTTGTTCCAAATTGGCGATGCATCTATTTTCAAAGTAGTATGTATGTAACCCGATGAGGAATTCCATTTTTGATGTCATGGTTTGCATGGAAGGTGAGGAATCCCCCATTCCCTTGTATGTATATAAGGTTTCTCTCTGTGTGTGTGTGTGTGTGTGTGTGTGTGTGTGTGTGTGTGTGTGTGTGTGTGTGTGTCCTATTCCGTTGTATGTGTATAAGGTTTCTGTGTGTGTGTCCCCTTTTCCCTTGTATGTGTGCTAGGTTTCTGTGTGTGTGTGTGTCCCCTTTTCCCTTGTATGTATATAAGGTTCATGTGTGCGTGTTTATGTGAGTGTGTTTGTGTGTGCGTGTTTGTTTGAGTGTGTGCGTGCGTGCGTGCGTGCGTGTGTTTGTGTGTGTGTGTGTGTTGTTTGCCTTTCTTCATGATATCGATGGCTAATAATTGTCAATGATCCCAGAAAAAGGATGTCTGTGCATATTCTCTAACTGTTACGTAATTATTTCTGTTATTTTACATTGTAAGTATTTGATGTTTTAAGTAATAAATAGTGCATTTAGTTTGGTTTGTTTGTGTGTCACATTCACCGTAAATGCATGCGACCTGCTCCATAGTGTTCCACTATATGGACGGTCGTAGTGTGAATCCAGACTATCCCAATCATTACGTATTCATATATGCTTTCGTAATGGGTTCATAGAATAACGCGTTAATATTGCATTGATATAATGCATTCATGGTGTAATATCAAACCCGTTTATGCGCTCGTGAAAATCCGCATTAGATTTGATCTTCTGCTTGACTCCCTCGTAAGGATCCGTGTTAGAATTAGTCTTCAGCAACCCAAGGTTGTCTCCCCCGTGAATATCCTGGTTAGAATTGGTCTCCTGCAATCCCTGCTTGTCTCCCTTGCGCAGGTCCGGGTTAGAATTGGCTTTTATGCAGCCCATGCTTGTCGTAAGAGGCGACTAAAGGGATCATTTGGTCAGGCTCGCTGACTTGGTTCATGCATGTCACCGTATCTCATTTACGAAGACCGATGCTCTTGATGTGGATCACTTGCTTGCATGAACCTGGTCCAGACTCGATTATTTACAAGCCACCGTCATATAGCTGTACTATTGCTGAGTGCAGCGTTAAAACAACCCCAAACAAACCCTTTCATGAGACGTTACTTTTGCAAAGTAGTGTAACTACCCATGTAAACGAACCTGAAAACGAATGTTTGTATGTATCAAGGCCAAGTTGAGATTATGATAAAACCATAGTTATTTTTCGATATATGCTTCATAAAGCCTGTTGAGCTTGTAAGTTGGTTGAGTCGCCAGTGAAAGAGAAAGAAAAATGTTTACTTCATATATGAGTTGCAGGGTTAACATTCAAGGCAAACCGCATTCACCCGACGAAGGGTCGCCTTGCATGTGATCGTCGTTTTGCATGGGTGTTTGAGCTCGAAAGAGTGAGAGCTATGCCGCATTTTTAATTTTTTTTTACAAACCATGTGTATAATAATAAACGTTGTCAACTGGTCCCTTGGGGGAGACGTTGTACCCTGTGAGCTTGTGTATGCCGAGCCGAGATGTCTGGCGAGGGATACACCAGAGACCAATCTATTATATGGTCTCTGGACACACATGGGCTCACACACAGGGTAGGTACATCACATCATATGACCCGAGGGGTCGGATGACAACGATTTGTTTCAACGACATTCATTCAAACAGGTCCGCATTTTCACCGACTTAGCAAAGCCCGTAGCAGACGACGCAAATGAACCGAGTTACTTCCCTTTACCCAATTGATTCTTCCAGAAATAGGTTCATTTCAGAAATGCAATGATAGTTAAGCGCGAGAAGCAATTTACCTAACATGGTTGTTTGCTTGTTTGTTGTTTAACGCCGCACTCAGCAATATTCCAGCCATATGACGGCGGTCTGTAAATAATCGAGTCTGGACCAGACAATCCAGTGATTGACATCATAAGCATCTATCATACGCAATTGGGATACGATGACCTGCATCAACCAAGTCAGCGAGCCCGACCACCCGATCCCGTTAGTCGCCTCTTACGACAAGCATAGTCGCCTTTTACGGCAAACATGGGTTGCTGAAGACCTATTCTACCCCGTATCTTCACGGGTCACATTGTATTTAGAGGTCAGCAGAGTAACATATGTATTTTTCATTATGTTCGTTGCGACTATTTCACATGTGTTACAATTATTCCTCTGAAATTAGCAAGTTTCTTTAAACCACATATTCTATGGGAGCAAAGCGTTTTGGGGCTGAGTGGATCAGCGGTCAAAAGCGACAGGCAAGCAAACCCCAGGAGCTGAGATCGTATCCCTCTTGTGACGGGATTGTCATCTCCGGGACCTGCAATGTTTACAGGTCTTTACATTGTTGTCACTACATGCACCCCTCATGGTTTATTCTCCCTGCAGTGTTTTATTATACGATAAACAACTACCACTCGTCGTTTATTTCTTAAATACATGTAACCTTCGTGTTTCTGTGTAGTGTCTGTGTAAGCATGTACATTCTTAAGTTATAGACATATCATTTCATACTTATGAAGTCTATAATGAGATTACTACTACTAATGCATCAAATAATTTCATAGAACCAATGTGTGTATGGGCGAAGTGTGGCCCATGGGTAGGCCCATGGGCGAGAATATTTTTCTTTACTCAAAACTCATGGATTTGTTTCGCAAATACATAAATGTATTTCTTACAAGTATCATGACGCAAAATTTAACTTTTTTAACTTGATTCCCCGATTTAATAGCGATATTGAAATATTTCGCCCATGGGCGAGAAAAAGGTTTGGCCCATGGGCGAGAATATTTTCCTTTGCTAAAAAAGTCGCAAAAAAAAGTGAATGTGCCCAGTGTGTTGTATCAACGATACATAAAATGGGAAATGAAAAAGAATTTAGCTAAACTTTAATCTTGTGGAAAATAACGCCAATGAATTGGTGTACAAGCGCATGAATTCGTATGACAAACTGTCAAAACGTTTTGAGAGGTAAGGCCGGGTTCATTACAGATCGTTACAATATGTAAACGGGTGAAATTTTGTAAAACTTCTATAAATGAAACATCCAACCAAAGGCCCGTTTTAAATAGTAATGTAATGATATAATATAAAGTATATTTCACATGATACAATATCCTTTGTACACAATTAGTTGATGCTTTAAAGGGACTGACGAAAACATAGGCGAAATATTTTAATAACGCTATAAAATAGTTGAATTAAGTTAAAATGAGTTAAATTATGTGACATGAAACTTCTAAGAACCCCTTTATGTATTTGCGACACTAAAACACAGGTTTTGAGCAAAGGAAAATATTCTCGCCTATGGGCCAAACCTTTTCTCGCCCATTGGCGAAATATTTCAATAACGCTATAAAGTTGTTGAATTAAGTTAAAATGAGTTACATTATGTGTCATGATACTCGTAAGAACATCTGTATGTATTTGCGAAACAAAACCATGAGTTTTAATTAAAGGCAAATATTCTCGCCCATGGGCCAAACCTTTTTCTTGCCCATGGGCGAAATATGTCAATATCGCTATAAAATCGAGGAATTAAGATAAAATGAGATAAATTTTGCGCCATGATACTTGTAAGAACATCTGTATGTATTTGCGAAACAAAACCATGAGTTTTGAGTAAAGGAACATATTCTCGCCCATGGGTCTACCCATGTGCCACTCTTCGCCCATGGGCCTACCCATGGGCGACATAGTGTAAATATTGAGATTTTGAACATTTTTTTCTCCATTTTTTCTTCCTTGGTATGTTCCCGTGAAAATAGCATGTTTAATTTTGTAAATACCTTTGACCGAGACTGGGTAAAGACCGTAGAGTTTCTGGACTATTGGGTTTCCAGAATTAAAATGGGACGTGTTCAAATAATATTCTTTAAAAAAAGTGAGAAATAGTCGGAAATACTTAATGTTTTCAAATTGTAAGATATATTAATTTTTAGTACATGTAATAGTTGCATGATAATAATGACCAAATAGGGAACACATTACAACCCATAGTAAAGTATGACGGTAGATGTTATGACTGCCAACGATCTTGAAGAACAATAAGGGGAACACGGGAAATTTCAAAACTGACGTTTTTGGATCAGTAGTACGTATTACAGCCACGAATTGTCAAACTCGACGATTCGTGCACGATGAGGACGGACATTGTCGTCCTGAAGGCAAAACTAAGACTAACACGCCTTGTAAACTGGAACAACAAAGGGTGTCCGTTGCTGGCCCGATAGTACGGTCTCCTTGCACAATATGGAGTGGGGTTCGCTAGGTCATAGTGATATCACCCCACACCATAACCGATCTACCGCTTATTGCCGCCATGAGGTCTAAGGTTGACATTGGCGTGACGTTCATTCCGACGTTACCAGACATGACCACACGTATCATAAAAGTGCAAAGTGAATCGGGATTCATCTGAAAACATGACACGTGACCAGCGACGACGTATTTCCCCAGTTTCGACGGTGCGTACACCATTAGCCTATGTTGGGAATATGTCGACTTGTAAGGGGCGGCACAACACGTGGCCGTCGAGCATGGAAATTTCTCATGATCTGACTCGTAACCCGTACTCCAGTAGCCAGGTGAAAGTTTGAAGCAATTTGATTCGCCGTTTGAGATCGATTTCGTAGAGCCTTGTTTCGGATCAAATCAATCCTGTACTCTTGTCGTTGACCTGGTACGCCTTGAACGAGGTCGATCGTCAACAGTGTGAGTTTGTTGGTACCTGTTCCATGGTCTGCTGATCACAGACTGAAACATTTAACGTATTGGCCACTGCATGATGACTTCTGCCAGTTTCAAACATCCCAACAAACCGTAGACGCTCCGCGCGTTGCAGACGCCTCATCGCTAGTTCATACACAAACAATGAATCAAACCAAGTAAACCAAAACTGTATGAGCTGCAGCATCAATAAGATTGAATAATGGTCCACAGAGATTAATCGACTTTCCCTGAAAGTGTCAAAATAAATAAAGAAAGCCGACGTACTTGTTTAGCGTTAATGCGTGGGGCACGTGCATACTATCGGATGTGTTTTGGTGTCAAGTTTCACAGACATAAACGTTCATGCATATGGTGTGTCCCGTCAACACTTATCTTTATTCTAGTACTTGGTATTAACTATATATTTCATAACCCCCTACTTTGTTTTAAGTGCATATATCATCTGCGTCTCCATTTGTCTTCACTGCCACTACTCCTCTCACCCAGGGGCAGGTCGGGTAGCCTAGTGGTGAAAGCATTAGCTCGTCACGCCGAAGACCCGTGTTCGATTCCCGACATGGGTACAATGTGTGAAGCCTATTTGTGGTGTGCCCCGCCGTGATATTGCTGGAATATTGCTAAAAGCGGCGTAAAACCTCACTCACTCACCCAACGAAAAATAAGACTAAAAATGTCGGAAGTGTATATTTTTAAACCTGCTAATTTACTATTTAGATACATGTTTTAACTTTTAAGTAATCATATAATCTCGTATTCAAAAATGTATTAGT